TTGTCTTGAGTTAGAGTAATCAACACTCAACCTGATCAAATCTAACGAAATTGGAGAAAGACTAAGGACACCATGAACATTTCTGTCATCTAGGTCAGATTTGTGCCATAGGTCACATTAGATAATCTATCTAATAGATGATTTTAATTTAATAATGTTTTGTCTTCATTACCCACATTTTACATGGTCAGGCCCATGGTCATCTTTCATATCAATACACATGAAGTCTATGCAGTGTGAGTCTGCCATGTAGAATCCTCTATTTTACAGTATCCAAAATATATATATATACAGGTGCATCTCAATAAATTAGAATGTCGTGGAATCTGATCATCTGCTGGTGTTGGTCCATTGTGTTTTTTGAAAAAAGTCACTGCACCCGTTTACCAAGAAATTTTGGAGCACTTCATGCTTCCTTCTGCTGACCAGTTTTTTGAAGATGCTGATTTCATTTTCCAGCAGGATTTGGCACCTGCCCACACTGCCAAAAGCACCAAAAGTTGGTTAAATGACCATGGTGTTGGGGTGCTTGACTGGCCAGCAAACTCACCAGACCTGAACCCCATAGAGAATCTATGGGGTATTGTCAAGAGGAAAATGAGAAACAAGAGACCAAAAAATGCAGATGAGCTGAAGGCCACTGTCAAAGAAACCTGGGCTTCCATACCACCTCAGCAGTGCCACAAACTGATCACCTCCATGCCATGCCGAATTGAGGCGGTAATTAAAGCAAAAGGAGCCCCTACCAAGTATTGAGTACATGTACAGTAAATGAACATCCTTTCCAGAAGGCCAACAATTCACTAAAAATGTTTTTTTTTATTGGTCTTATGAAGTATTCTAATTTGTTGAGATAGTGAATTGGTGGGTTTTTGTTAAATGTGAGTCAAAATCATCACAATTAAAAGAACCAAAGACTTAAACTACTTCAGTCTGTGTGCACTGAATTTATTTAATACACGAGTTTCACAATTTGAGTTGAATTACTGAAATAAATGAACTTTTCCATGACATTCTAATTTATTGAGATGCACCTGTATATGTGTGTGTGTGTATATATGGTCAATAGCATACTATAAAATTATATAGGATATGTGGCTTGTACAAATATGAGATAATTAAGTTATAACGAATAATAACGGATTATTCCCCTGATGACAGAACGTGAACAAGATAACCTTAGAAATTAATTTTTTTTCATGTGAACATGAGCACTGTAGTTCTGTGAAGAGTCAGCTGTGCTACACTGATCAGTGTTTGTTTTGAAAGGCAAAAGAACATGTTGAGCTTTGGGCATTATCCAGTCAAAACAACTTTGTTGATCCCACAGAGCTTTGTGTTTGACTTCTGAGGTCATTTCCACGGGAGATTTCATGTATTATTCTCTGCCCTTGCTGTATTGTTGCTTGTCAAAGGATATTAAAGCTACTAATGATATCCAATAAGATTTGCATTCATGAGTTTAAATGCATTTTATACACAGTCTGAAATAATCCATGCTTCTCTCACAGAAATGAGCAATAAATCACTCTATTCAAAGTCAACAATGTAGCTTCACGCTCAACAACATATGCAGCAAAGCAGTATGTAAAATATAATTAACCGACAATAATACGGCCCCTTAAATATACTGTTATGTTTCATTTCAATTAAGAAACATATTATAGTGGTTTTGGCATAGACACAAATGCCTGTGATACATCTTCTGGAAGTTACTGAAATGATAATCATAACACTTAAACAGAGGGGTGATATGGGGTGATACCGGGGGTCATATAGCCTATTCCTACATTACTTGAAGCTCCTTGATGGCTAATGTCAAAATCGTAATTGCACAATGTGCAAAATTCTAGACTTCATGTTAAATATTTTTCATAGGTCAGTACTCGGAGTCTGCACTCAGTTTGTGATATTCCTGTTATACAGTATTTTAGAGTAAACTGTGGGAATGCAACAATACAGTTAGCCCAAGGTTCAATAAATAACTCACAACTTTCAGTTTGGTTCTGATGTTTTGGCACAACAGAGTTCTTTTTAGCGATTTTAAATGTTATTTAAAAAAATTAATCCAGTACATTGTTGTACACTGTAGAAAAACATGGATTATCACATGTCTACCTTAAATTTATTTTGAGAGAAGTATTATTTTTATAGATTGGCCATTATTTCGTGCTATGAACACATGTAATGTCTGTTTCATTCACACTGGATACTAGAGAAAGTCCACATATGCATCACCGAAGAAACAGTGCTCACGACTCCAGGAAATACCATACACATGTTTCCTCATCTCAGCGCACGACTCACGGACACACAAACAGAGCCAGTTTGGAGAGAAATAAAAAAAACACGGAAACCGCTCTGCTTGGTTGAACTCCTCGTCTTTTTCTGTTGCTTGTTTACTGCGCGTGGACAGGTCACCGGGTTTTTGCGTAGTTTAGAGTGACAAATCGTACCAGCGTACTTTAAGGTCAAACTGCGTACAGGTTGTCAGGTCTGTCTGTCACTGTGAGCAGCACATACAGCAGTGTTGCACTGTGACCTTGTTTGTTAGGGTCTGAGGCTACACAGTGCAATAATAATTTAACCAGACGTTGTAAGTCAGCATATAATGATCATATGAACTCTTGTTATGGTGAACTCTAAGTGTGGAACAGCATATTTTGATGATGATAATTAATCCTGCTAAGGTTTCTATGAAAAACAGTCTAAGGAAAATACATAGAAATTGCAACATAAGCACAAATATTTGGAGCCTCAAGGGGTTCATTTACTTACTACATTCAACTTGACTGTTTCTCAAACAGGAGTTAAGAAAACTTGCCAAACGGTCCGTATAAAATATCTGAGTGACCTATGCCATAAATTTGTTTATTTTGACATATGTTTCCATAAAGAGCAAGCCAGGATATTTGATGACGTGGCTGAATATTGGACAAGTCAACTAATGTGACTTAATGTGACTAGTTTGAGATACACTCCTTTAATCTATGGCAACTGTAGTTAAGAAACCAGATGTAAACAATGCTGCTTTGTTTTGTGTGCTGATCGCAACACAAGCACTCTCCATCTAATAATTATAAGATACAATGATAAGGCATTCTTAGATAACAGTTAGCTGGTTAAGTATCTCTCACCATAAATGGCAGGTCCTCTGTAAGGCCACCTAGAAAGATAAATGCATTATCTGACCACTGGCAAAGAGAAATTATTTAGAAGACCTTGGGGACTCAAAAGATAATTTAACTTTTTAGCTGTAAGCAAGCAGAAATTGTAAGGATTTTGAAAATAAAAGAAACATTAAGATGTGAAATGAGAAAGAAATATGTCAGATTCTGCACTATTTCTAAGTCACTATTCAAATCACTAATCAAATTAAATTTGTGAATTATTTGTAGCCTACAGACGGTCAATGTTCTTCCATCGAAGCTCAAGATGCTCTTTGGATCATCTCAATCACGCTAGAGAACATAATTATCTCTATATAATATATACATTATAATCTATATATAGTATAGATTTTATACAAATTTGCAGATGTGAAGCAAAAATGTGATTTTCTGGAATTGTGGAAGGCTACAAAATTGTGTAATTTTTCAATTATCTGTTTACTTAAAGCTGCAGTCCGTAACTGTTTTGGGTTAAAAATGATCCGAAATCAGTATTTGAGCAAGTACATAACCAGCCAGTGTTCGAAACTATCGCCTTACTTTAGCCCGATTCACAACGGTTAGCTTATAATAATGATTTGTAATTTGAGAGGTACGGGTAGGTTTTCGCGGGAAATTCGAGCATGGCACTGCGTCATTACGTCACGTCTGTAAACATAAAGAATTTGTCCCGGCTACTAGGCTATCACATGTGAGGATCCTGCAGGTGGCCGATCGTTTATAGCCTTTTCTAACAGCAGCTAGAATAATTAAATGTATCATTTTGATGGCGGATTGTAATCCATAAAGGATTATGTGTTTATGAAACACATGTGAATGAAATTAAATTATATTCCAGTTATAAATGTGCATCTGATTACAGATAGCCTGGGATTA